TTCCACAGTTGCATTGTATATGACACAAAGCAAGATCAGCCCTAAAATAGTTCTTTTCTGGCTTTTACTGGCTTATATTTCACTGTCAAAAGAAATCAGCTTGATAAAGCTGTATAAGTATCAGAATCCATATACATACAAATACAGATTAATCCCGAAATATTCATTTTCTTGCCTTTTCCCCTTAGCAGTGAGAATCTAGAAGTAGCCACCAAAGGATAAATTTCACAGGATCTCCTTACCTGCTGAAGCTCCTTACTTTCAATCTGGATGACAAGTAACTGCTGGGGAAAGCTTACTGTTTTTAAAAAAAATCTAGATACTACGCTAAGGACACACCATTTGACAGAAGTTGCTGGGAAAAATGAACAATAGTCTGGCAGAAATTAGGTTTAGACCAGCACCTCATACCATTTACCATGGTAAGCTCCAAACAGACACATAACCTAGATATAAATAGTCATATTATAAACAAATTAGAGGAGCAAGGAAGACATTACCTTTCAGATCAATAATGAAAGAAAGGGGGCAGCTGGGTGGTATAGTGGATAGAGCACCATCCCTGGAGTCAGGGGGACCTGAGTTCAAATCTGGTCTCAGACCAGACATTTGACACTTACTAGCTGTGTGACCCTGGGCAAGTCACTTAACTCCAATTGCCTCACCAAGAAGAAAGGAAGATTATCATAAAATATTAAGTTGACAATATTGGTTACATAAAATTTAAGTAGTTTTACATATATAAATACAATGCAGTTAAGATTAGAAGGGAAAGAGTTACATGGGAAAATGTTATTTTCAGTAGGCTTCTTGGATAAGATTTTCTAAAATGTATTAAAAAACTGATTCAAATTTATAAGAATAAAAGCCATTCCCTAAATAATAAGTGGTTAAAGGTTATGGACAAGCATATTTCAAGGGAAGAAATACAAACTATCTATAGTCATATATATGAAAATATGTTCCAAATCAGTAATGTATTAGAGAAATACAAATTAAAGCTACTTTAAGGTTCCACCTCATGCAAAGGGGAAAAATGACAAATTTTGGAGGAGCTATGGGAAAATAGGAATGCTGAAACACTGTTGGTAGAGCTGAAAATTGGTTTAACGGTTCTAGAAAGCAATGTGGAACTACACTGGAAAAGATACTAACCTCTAGAAGTTCCTTTGTTCCAGAAATTACACTAATAGGCTTACATCCTAAAGAGACCAAGGAAAGAAGTAAAGAACACAACTGTACGAAAATATGTAAAGCAGTTCTTTGTCATAGAAAAGAACTGGAAACTAAGGCGATGTCCATCTACTGGAGAATGGCTGAACAAATTGTGGTATATAAATGTAATGGAATACTATTGTGCTGTAAAAAAGAAAAAAAAAGATGGTTTCAGAGAAACCTGAGAGGATTTGTATGAACTCACATAGAGTGAAATGAACAGAACCAAGAGAACAATGTACATTTTAACATATATTGTAATAAATAATATTTCTGAAAAACTTAAGAACTCTATCACACAACGTTCAAGCATGGTTTCAGAAGCATGGCTTCATCATCTTCATGATGAAGAATGCTGCCCATCTCATGACAGAGAAGTAATAGGATAATATACAACATATATACATAAGGTCAATGTGAGAATTTGTTTTGCTTGATCTGGGTTTTGTAATTTGGTTGTTTTTTTGTTTGTTTTGGGTTTTGGGGGAGTTTTTTTGTAGTTCTTTTTCTTTTCTTTGTCACCACTAGGGAAAGGGGGAAATAAGAGAAAGAAAAAGTCCTTGATAACTAAAAATAAAACTGTAACTTTAAAAAAGAGACTTTGGACTTTATTTACATGAGCGGGATAAAGAACAGCCATGTGGCACAGTGGATTAAGAGCCAGCTTTGGAGTCAGACAACACCTGGGCTCTCACTGGCCATATGACTATGGATGTCACTTAACCCTTCAGTACCCCAGACAAGACCCAAAGGCTCCTAAGTTGCATAGTAGGTACTTCTCTCATTGGTAGAAAGCATTTCCTCACTGAGAGTGCCCTATGCTAAAGAAATTGCAGTTCTGGTGCCCTTCAAAATAAGCAAGATTCATGGCAATAATTTTGAATTGTAGCCAAGATCATCTTTTTATCTTTCTCTTAGGAAATTCTGTGAGGAAAGTCTTGCAAAAGCCTTTTTTAACTTTTCCTTTTCCTCCCTGCCTCTAGTTTTTCCAGTATTTTTAAAATTCTATTTTTAAAGATTTCCCCCCTCATTTAAGTCTAATATTTCCTTTTCAATTTCTTTGTCTTCATTATATTTAGCTGTCAGTACTGCAGGACACAAAGCTCACAATTAGAGAGGGAAGAGGGGAAGAGAGAGAGAGAGGAAAGAAAGAGAAAGCAAAGAAAGAGAAAAAGAGAGAGGAAAGAATAACAGAGAAAGAAAGTAAGAGAGAGAAAAAAAGAAATAGAAAAAGAGAGAGAGGAAAGACAGAAGAGAGAGAGCAAAGAGAAACAGAAAGAGAGAAGAAAGAGAAAAACACAGGGAGGGAGAGAGAGAGAGAGAGAGGAGAGAGAGAGAGAGAGAGAGAGAGAGAGAGATAAAATTAGCCACATTCCTGGAGGAAATATCTTACAACAATCTTTCAGTTTTCCCTTAAGGAGACAGCTGCTCCTTTGAATTTGTTGAAGGATTCTGTTGTGAATGATCATGACTGATAACACCAGAAGTAAAGTCCTATTCTCCAAAGTTACCTAACTCATAGGACTATTATGAAAGGGCTTCTAGGCCTCCTGATTCACATCAAAAGAACACACCTTATTCAGTATTAAACTGGAATAGCTCAAATACCTCCATACAACTTGGCCAGGCCCTGAGGAGGCTCTCCTAGAACTCTAAGAATAATGGGGACCACAAAAGGGCTCCCTTAAAACTTAACTTATTAATGAGATTATAGTTTTGTTTTGTTGTCATTTCACTGGCCTTTCACTGCTCAAAGCTTTGCTACACCACCCTTCCCCTTCCTACTGTTTCCTTTTGCTAGTTTCTATGATTCTATCCAACCCTAATCGCCTTTCCTACATCTGCTGTCTAGTCTTAACTATTTTATAGATTTCTACAACAGCCTCCTTCTGGCCTTCAGTAGTTTTAACTACTAAAATTTAGAACAAGTAGTCAGGTTAATTCATCTCAAGAAAATAAGGACACCAGATAAAGTGAAAAACAGGCTTGTGTGGAAAGGAAACAAGTATATACATGTCAAAATAAGAGTAGAATCAATGGGTGCCCAAACATTGCTGTTTGCCCATCACATTTATTTTCTATGCTGTTGCTTTCAACTAGCTTACATAGACCACTAAGCCTACATCGTAAATCTATCCATTGTCGGCTCAGTCTTTTCACTTTTCTTGTTTCAGTACCCATCTCTTTATCCAAAATGGATCTGTAGTCATGCCTTGCTTGAAATGCTGTTCCTGGAGACAAAATATCTCTATTTGCCAATGGATCTGTAGACATAAGATCATTAGATTGTTAAGGAGTTCCATTCCTGGATAGCCAGGTAGGACAGAGATCAGTGAAGGGCCTCCTCCTAAGTTCAAAAAACAGGGCAACATCCTGGGTTTAGAACCCAGGAGACTTAGGTATAGAGACAAGCTGACCTGAAGAATATGACAGTGAGATAACTGAGGGGTTGGAAGAATAAAGGAGTAAGCCAGAATTAGTCAGTGTAGAAGGTATGTAGATGGATTGAATTCAGGAAATTGCAAGTGTTTTCAAGTACCCAAGCTTCCTAATGAAAGACAAATCCATTCTTTTTAACAATAACAATCTGTGGGTAATGCTATTTCGCACTGAATTGTATATAAATATGTGTGTGTGTGTGTATGTGTGTGTGTATGTATAATAGCATATATATTATATATATATATATATATATATATATGAAACTAGTCTTTTTGCCACATGAAGGACAATGGATAGATGCACATTGGGCATAACTAGACTGTAATTATGGTCAATCATCTGTATTATAGTTGATCAATTATGTGAAAGAATTCCATGTGTGACTGGAAATGGAGTTGGGCCAGTCATGTAACAAAAGTCAGTGATGATCATGAGACAGCATATATCCACTGCATAGGTGACCTTTTCATGTTAAAGAGATTTCAAGGAAGATGTCAATACATTGAGAGGATTTCAGGATTATAGGCGAAGAGTCTCCATGGATGAAAGGGCATGAGGGTTGTGATCTCGACTAACTGGGGTGGGGGGAGGGGAACACAGAATTGATGAGGTCACCAATCTATTGAAGCAATGCACCAAGTAGGCACAGAAAGAATAAGGGATTTGGTAGGAAAAGAAGCAAGGAAAACAACAACCATCAGCTGTTGCTCCTTCTGACTATGCCATTTCTGTCTATAACTCAGCCATTTACCAGATCTTCCATGTTCAGGATTTGAGGGTTATCTCAGATTCTTTCCTCCCCATCACCTCTCATAACCTCATAAGCTCTCAGTTATCAAGTCCTATTTCCCCATCTCCACATCTTTCACCTCTATTGCCTTCTCTCTATTCCCACAACCTGCCCTAGTTCAGACCCTCATTACCACTTCCAGGATTGTTTGCATTAGACTCCTTACAGGTCTTCTTTCTACTCTCTCCCACTCCATCCAATCCTTCCTTTACGACAGTGCTGAGCAAGTGGTATTAATTCATATAGTGCTTTAGAGTTTGCTAAGCATTTTGCAAGTGTTTTCCCATTCGATTCTCACAATAATCCTATGAAGGAGGTACAATAATTAACCCCATTTAACAGATGGGAAAACTAAGGCTGAGAAGGGTTAAGGGATTTCCCAACATCATGCAGCTAGTATCTGAAGGCAGGATTCAAAATTAGGTCTTTTAACTACTGTGCCACCTGTCTTATACTGAATACTTCTGAATATATTGATAGCAAGAGAAAGAATAGATACTACCTGAGATCAGCACTGGCAGGATCAAAAAAAAAAAAAAGCAAAAATACTCACATATATTATTGAGAGGACACCACTATAATTTTTGGTTGAAACATTGAGGACAATTTTCAGCTGTGAGACAAATACTTGAAAGGCAGCGGCTGTTGTGAATCCTCCAACTAATGGGTCTGCGAGATATCGAACAACGAATCCAATCTGCAAAGCTCCTAATACCAACTAATTCAAGAAGAAAGAAAGAAAAACAAATGGTTTGCTTGGAATGAATGAAAAATGCTACTATTTTGCCTCTAGCTGATATTTGCATAGTGCTGCTTGCATTTACAAAGTTCTTTCCACATACTATCTTATTTTATCCTTCCAACAACCCTGGAGATGCTATAAAATGGGGACAATCAGAGAGATTCAGTGGTTCTCCCATGGTTGCACAGCTAATAAGTTTAAGAGACAGGATTCAAAACCGGGTCTTTTGGGACTCCAGGGCCACTTAGCAGTCCTTTTACCATGCTGTGCTACAGTCTCATATCTGGCAATAATTTTGTCCTTGTTTCCTCAGCACCTAGGACAGTGCCTGGCACACACTAAGCACTCAATAAATACTTGAATTGAGTTGATATAGGTCTTTAAAGATACATCAGTTATCTCACAACTTTGTGAAAGAGATATTTCAGGTATTATTCTCCTCATTTTACAGACAGAGAAACTGAGACTCAGGAAGGTTAAATGACTTAGTTATACTACTAGTAGTAAAAATAACTGACATTTATGGAGAGTATTCCAAAAGTCTTACTGCAAGGTGATGTTAAATCTTACTGCAAAGCTATAATAGCTTAAGTACCTCCATTAAATTTAATAGATTAAATAGATTAGATATCCTGTCTAGCCCTTAAAGTTTGCATACAATATCATTTTATCCTTACAATAACCCTATCAGGCAATACTTACAGATATTACCCCCATTTTACAGATAAGGAAATTGAGGCTTAGAGAGAAGTGACAGGCCAGCTATGGTACAAACATAATAGTATGTATCAGAGAGAAATCTTGAACTGGGGACTGAGTGACAAGCCCTTGGTCACATTTCCAGTAAGGGTCAGAGGTGGGATTCAAACCCAAGTCCAATAAGAAGCTATGATGATTTGATGACAGTCCATACTACTTCAAACGCAAAAATGCTTCTACAAAACCAAATGGCATTTTTGTTCTGGACCTGTGATTTCATTAGCGTGGTGTAGAAATCCCCTCCACCAATGGTGATTGGCAACTCATCTGTAATTTAAATTCTTAAAGAACTGCTCAAAATATAACTGAAAGGTTACTCAAACCCAAAGAGTTTGTGCCCAGAGGGACATAGCTAGGATGAGAGAGAATTTTTTATTTAATTTGCTTTTTGGTGAGGCATTCCAGGTTAAGTGACTTGCAAAGGGTCACACAGTTAGGAAGTGTCAAGTGTCTGACGTCGGATTTGAACTCAGGCCCTCCTCATTCTAAGGCCATAGCTCGATCCACTGTGCCACCTAGCTGCCCTATGAGGGAGAATTTAAGTCCAGATCTTTCTGACTCTAAGAACAGCCCTTCCTCCATTCACTATACCTTAGTGACTCTCCAGTATTGTTAGTTAGTGAAGAAATCATGACTTAAATGTGTATTTGCCTCAGAGATACGTTACCTGTATAATGCCTACTAAAACAGTGAGGGTGCTGGCAATTAACACTCTCTCTGCATCTCTGGCACCAGAGTCTATTCTGGTAATGTTGTCGAGTGTGTCATTGGTGCTAGGCAAGATAAACTGTTCATCAGGGGCCATGCTTAGAACAACAGATCCCACCATCAAACTGACCACAGGAAAGGGTCCTGGAAATTACAGGAATTAATTTGTCATTAGTCAATTAAGAATTACAAATGTCTATACATTATTGTCAGCAATATGCCAATAACCAGCACCTTAGTTAAGAAAAAAATTTTTATTCATTCAGCCAAAAAAGTCAAAATCCCAATTCCTCAGGTCACACATATTGATCTTACTTTCATTTTGTTCCACAATATGCTTATTTCCATCCTGTGTGAGCCCATTTCTCATTTTATTCTGTGTTTTGATCTGTCTGGGGATGAATTAACCCAATGTCATGTTCAGTTTTTCAGGGTTCAAAACAAGATAATGAACAATGAGAGGAGATTGTAGTTTGTTTTTGTTTGTTTTTTACCATGGAAGTAAGCTTTTAATCTAAAAGTCCAGGACAAGAAAGAGACTTAAGGCAAATGAACCCACAGCTTTCTTTTCCCCAGCCAGTCTCTTGCCTATTGAATTCTTTGTCTGAAAAAATGCAGTTCATCTTTTTGTTATTCTTATTGTTGAATTGTGTCCTCTTCACAATCCCATTTGGGGTTTTCTTGGCAAATACACTGGAGTGCTTTGCCACTTCCTTCTCTTGCTCTTTTTACAGATGAGGAAACTGAGACAAAGAGGGTTTGGTCACTTGCCCAGGGTCATACAGCTAGTAAAATGTCTGAGGCCAGATTTGAACTCACAGCGATGGGTCTTCTGACTCCAGGCCTGGTCTTCTAGCCACTGTGCCATCTACCTGCCCCAGTTCATGTCTACTCTGCACTAATTGAAAAGTACTTTCCAAATCTGCAGCAGTCCAAGGCAGAAGGAAGATATGTGCGAAGGCATGGAGATAGAAAATTATGAAGTATATTTAGGGAATAGCAAAAAGTCCAATTTGGCTAAAAGGAAATAAGATTTTAAAAAGCCACATGTCTGATACTATCAGAGGACCTAGGGTTCAAATCTCAGCAATATAGCTTTAGGCAAATCACATTTTCTGGGCCCCCATTTTCTCATCTGTAAAATGAAGGGGTTGGCCTAGATGGTCTCTGAGCCCTAGCTCTAAACATATAATTCTTCAAGGTTCAAAAGTTTGGACTCTATCTGCTAGACAATTGAAGGGATTTGACTTAGGAAGTGGCATGGTTAGACCAATACTTCAGGAAGATTAAGTAGGCAGAACTACCAAAGAAGAGATTGGAGATGGGAAAAATCAATCAACATTTATCAGGTGCTTACTATGTGCCAGGCACTGTGCTAAGCACTAGAGATACAAAAAGAGGCAAAAGACAGTTCCTGCCCTCAAGGAGCTCACAATCTAACAGAATATCAGATGAAAAGCAGGTAAGAGAATGTTAAAGAAGTTCAGACAACAAAAGGCCAGGTGTAGGGTGGTGCAAGTGATATTAAAAAATGAAAAGACTTGACAACTTAGATAGAGGGCAGGGAATGAGGAAGGGAATGGAGGGCAGAGTTAAGGGTAATTCCAAGAGTTTTACTAGTTTTTACTACTGACTGGGAAGAATGGTGGTGCCATTAATAGAAGCAAGAAACTCAATAGTGAAAAGTGGGAAAGTTGATGCGTTTAGTTTGCGATGAGCTGAATTTGGAATGCCAAAGAATTATTCAGATGATGATGTATAACGAGCTAGCAGGAGCCTGAGTAGCATTGCTGAAGATCAGCTTTAACATTTTATTTACTAGATATTCTTTCAAAAGAAAATTAAACATTTAGGGCAAGAAGGAAGGAACCCTATTTTGAGTTACAGCAAAGAAGAGAGCTAAACCTAGCTTTAAAAATTGTTTTGGGGGCAGCTGGGTGGTGCAGTGGATAGAGTTCCAGCCTTGGAGTTAGGAGGACCTGAGTTCAAATCCAACCTCAGACACTTGATACTAGCTGTGTGACCCTGAGCAGGTCACTTAACCCCAGTGGCTGTTTAAAAAAAAAATTGTTTTGGCAAAACTTTGATACCCCTTCTCATGGGAAAGAAGAGGCATATGCTGAAATGGCATATTCTAAAGATATTCTTCCTAATGTTCTGAGGTCTCTTCCAGCTCAAAACTATGAAAGGATGAGCATTTATTGAGCACTTCCTATGTGCTAAACATTGCACTACACACTAGGGAATACAAATAGAAAAGCAAAACAGTTCCTCCAATCAAGGAATTTACATTCTAATTGGGAAAAATTATCTTTAAACTGAGTGTTCCTTCAAACTCTATTCTCAGTCCTCTTCACTTCTCTCTTTCTCTACAATCTCCCTTGGCAATCTCTTTTGGCTACCAATTATTTGCTGGTGGTGGCAACATCTCTGTCTCCAGTCCTGATCTCACCTCTGAACTCCAGAACCATATCTCTGGGTGCTTATAAAAGATCTCCAGCTGGAGGATGGGCTGCATCACCTCAAAATTAACATGTACTAAATTTAAGTGTATTGTTTTTCCTTTGCACTAAAACTACTTTTCTTTCTGACTTCACTTTTCTTTTTGGTTGTGCTGCTGTTTATCTCATCTCCTTAGGTTGTAGCCCTCTGGTTATCTTAGACTCTTCTAATATCTAATCAATTATCAACCAACCAATCGATTAATAAGCTTTTTTATGAAGTGCCTACCCTGTGTCAAGTACTGTGATAGGTGCTGAACAAGTGCTTCCACTCCTCATTTCTCACATCTGACCACTTCTCTCTGTTTACACTGTAACAACCTACTTCAGGTCTTCATGAGTTCCTCCTGGATCACTGTAATAACCTGCAGCCAGGTTTTCCCCACTTCCAGCCTTAATTCCCTCTAATTTATCCTTCATATTGCAGCCAGAATAATCTTTCTTATGAATAGATGTAGTCATTTCACTTCTCTGCTCAAAAATCTTCAGTGGTTCCTTATCATCTGCTTTACCTGGCATTCAAAGATCTAAACAATTTTGTGGGCCTGACAATCTAGTACCACCCAAACTTTTTCGGCTCTACAGGCAGTTCCCCATAAAAAATTTATGGGGAAAATGGGGTTAAGAGGACAACATTCAAAAATTTCATCAGTGATGCATAAAAAAGGTATGAACTTAATTAAAAAATGGTAGCACAGTTTATATATGTTAAAAGGTTAAGAAATATACAAGTACTCCAATAAATGGCGGCTTGACTTGTGCCCCAGGCGGCTATAGGGGCCAGTTGAGCAAACCAACCAAACTCTGAGCCTCAGGGCTGGAGGCTCAGGTTGGTGGGGGTGGGGTGTTGTGAACCAGCCCTTCTCCCACAACTCCTACTGAACCAGAAGAGGCCTCACTCAAATACTATCTCTTCCATGAAGATTTCCCTGATTCCACAGTGAGTAATAACTTTTTTCCCTTGGTACTCACATAGCACTTGGCTTCAAAATGCTAGTGCATTTATGTAATACTGTGCATTTTAGATTTCACTGTGTTTTTGTTTCATACTCCTCAGTTTTGAAAGCAATGTCTTGTTGAAATTTTCTAATTCCCCTAGTGCCTATCATAGTACTCTGCACTTAATAATAAATATTTGTTGAATCAGTGAATTCTAAGTTAATCCAGTGAAACAATGAATTCAAAGTCATTATAAGGTTTTCCTCTTTTCAGCTTAGCTTTTGTACAAGATTTAAGATCTTACACACTTTCTAAATAAAGTGTCAGTTTTATGAAGGATGATCTTTTCTCCCCAAAGTACTACTAGAATATGCTATAGTTTCCATTTTTTCCTCAATTTTCCCACTTCTTAATTATTTTCTATTAAAGTAGGAAGTTCTATTACTTCTTTCAACAAGGGAGCTACATTTCCAAAACTAACAATTCCCAGCATATCCCATAAATAAAAACAACACACAAATAACCAACTTGACTGTCACTAAAACCCCAAGTCAACTGAAAAAGCGAAAGAAAATCCCCAGAAGTCTGACTTAGGTATTCTCCAATGTGTTTTTAATTGTCCGTGCTGAACTAGCATATGTAGAGATATATTCATAATTACCAACTGAGATATGTCTTGATGTTCCAAAGATAAAATATGTCAAGATCGGAAAGAAAGCAGAGTAAAGGCCATATCCGACAGGAACTGCAGCCAGCAGAGCATATGCCATACCTAAAAGTACATCCAAAACAGTTCAACTTACAAACCTAAAATTGGTGTTATATCTTCTATATTGAAAAAGTGCTTTCTACAAATAATCACTCTTCTGGGTCTCTTTTAATATTTTATTTTTCCAATTACACGTAAAATTTTTTTATACTCATTTCTTAAAATTTTGAGTTCCAAGTTTGTTCCCTCCCTCCTTCCCCTCTCCCTTCATTGAGAAAGCAAAAAAAGTTTGATATAGGTGATACATGTGCAGTCATGCAAAACATATTCCCCTATTAGTCATGTTGCAAAAGAAAACACAAACAAGCAAAAAAGACCCAAGAAAAATGAAGTGTTTCTTTTAAAGTGTGCTTTGATCTGTACTCAGACTCCATTCAGTTATTTCTCTAGAGATGGAAAGTATTTTTCATCAATTCCTTCAGAATTGTCTTGGATCACTGTATTGCTGAGAATAGTTAAATCATTCACAGTAAATCATCGTACAGTATTACTGTTACTGTATACAATGTTCTACTGGTTCTGCTCACTTCACTTTGCATCAGTTCATATAAATCTTTCCAGGTTCTTCTGAAATCATCCTGATGCTCATGTCTTATAGCACAATAGATTCCATCACTATTATATACCATAACTGTTTCAGTCATTCCTCAATTGATGAGCAGCCCCTTCTCCTAAGTCTCAATAAATCAACTTAAGCTGCTTATTCTACATAAAATTTTGTGGGTGTGTTGGATATATGGTCCAGACCTGTGATTTCACTGATGGTAAACTCCTTGCATGGAAATTCCTTCCACTGGTACAGACTGGCAACTCTTCTGTAACTTAAAATCTTAGTGGCCTAGGACACTGAGAAGTTAAATAATTGGTCATAGTCACACAGCTAGTACATGGGCTCCTAAGATCCTAGATCTAGAGCCAGAAGGGAACTTAGAGGCTACTTGGGCCAACCCTCTTCTTTCTGAAGATTGGGGTAACTAGGCTCAGAGAGGTTCTACAGGTCATAAACCATAATCATCAGAGGTTTGAACCCAGGTTGCTTTGACTCCAGAGCCTCTGTCAAAGGTAGGATCTAAACCCACTTCTTTCAGCTCTATGAACAGCTCTCTATCAGCTGTATTACTAAAAATAATTCAACCTGGCTGAAACAAGGGCTGCATTTAAATATGCCACCTATTCAAATGATTGACTAAATCAATAAGCAATTTAGTCATGCAACTGCTAAAGCAGTTAAACAAGTTAAATCAATTCTTCAAAGAGTTTAGTTAACTCAATTCAAATGGTCTAACCAATTTTGCATGAGGATAAACTTGTGGCTAAGCTCAGTCCTCTTTTATGAGCCCAATTACTGTTACACAATTCCCTTCCCCTTCCTAGGAAGATAAAAATAAACTTTATCTCTAGGCAAAAAGGGAAAAAAATCCAATTGAACATGACAACAGCCTGTAAGGATAACTCCTTATAGAGGTGACAGGAGTTAAAAATGTGCCTCAAAGAACAGAGCACTCTAGCTTAAATGCCACAAGCCCTATGATCTTAAGAACACTATGGATCCTTGCACAGTCTTTACGTCTTCCGCAGGTCAGTTCATACTCCCAAGCATGTGCCTGGAGGGACTATGCATCACACAGCCTCAGGACAGAATCTGGAGCACCTCTTTATGTATTTAATCTTTTGGTTAAATGTTTATTGGTTGGGCCAGTCAAATTTTGTTCTAGCTTAATTCCCTAATCCCACTTGGCAAGTGAGGGAGAAAAATCTAGCAATCCATGACATCAAATGGCATGGAAATTTTCTTTAAATCATTCATAATAAGGAGTACTCAGTACCCCAAAGCATGTGGAATAGGAAAGTAGCTCTGGAAAACAATGTTCTTTTCAGGTAACACTGCTATTCTGACATTTTGCAGTGATCTTCATTCTCAGTAGATTTGATTTAGATAAATTTTAATTGAAGAACTGGTCCAAGAATGAAATGTTTTATTGTTGTTGTTATATGTTGTTATATGACCTCAAACTTTATAGAATTTTTAGGATATAGTAAAACAGTAATGACAATTTCCATTTATATGGAACCTCTATTTTTGAGGTTTCCAAAGTACTTTTCTTGTAGTAATTCTGGGGATAAAAGATGATATTGCAAACTTAGCTCTATTAGACATCTTCAAAATGGAGAAAGTGAGAACTTTGTGTGTGCATGTATTCATGCATGGAATCAAAGGATCTTTATCCTCCACCTCACTAAAATAATAACTCAAGTCTTTCCCCATCAAATAGAAATTTTTTTTCCCTTCTGTGGGACTTCATCTTTAAATTTATAATGAAAGTCAGTGTGGATAATAATGTTAGCTTTTATAGAAATTCACTCTTCAGAAACAGCTTGATTGGAAGTAAAGTGCTATAGATGGGGGTGGGAGGTGGGGAAGAAAGTCAGTGGGAAATTCTGAGGCAATTTGGTATAATGCAATAGGGTTGGACTGAAAAGTAGGTTGAAATACCATCTCTATTACTTACTAGTTGTGTAACTTCAAGTATATCACTTAACTTCCCCAGTCTCTGATTCCTCATTTGTAAAATGGAGTTAATGGTTATACTTCACAGGTCAGCTGTGAGCCTCAAATAATGTATCCTGTGCTTTGAAAACTTTGCTCTTTACATGTTTACCTAGTAGACTGTGCAGCAGTGTATAACAGCTGGGATGGATAGAAAGGCTTCTCTCTCTCTCTCTCTCTCTCTCTCTCTCTCTCTCTCTCTCTCTCTCTCTCTCTCTCTCTCTCTCTCTCTCTATCTCCTAAACTTCGGATATGGAATTACAGTGATTGTGTGAAGCTCTGGGAGGCTAAGTGTAAACATTAAAAAGGCAATCTTACCTTGTAAAGTGGCTACAAGCCCGGTGCTAACACCAGAAATAGTGTCACTAAGTAGCCATTCTTTTACTTGGTATTTGGGTAGCCACTCCAAGATGGGTAAAAGAGACTTCAGCATCCGAATGGCTCTCCTTCTGGAACAACTACCAAAAAGCAAGAAAATTAGGTTTCTAATCTAATTCTGAGTAAAAACAGTCCACCCATTAGGGGAAGGAGTAATAATCTGAACTCTATGAAAAAATGTTTTAACAATTAAAAGTACATCTTCACTTTGATCACTGAAGTTTTTATCGTGCATTTGCCAAGAACTACATCAGTCATGGAATCATAGACTCACTTAGTGTTAGAACTGAGAGAGCATCTAGTTCAAGAGTATATAGTAGTAGAAAACACATGTGCGAGTATCCTTTTATGAGATCATGAATTTAGAACTGGAAGGACTCTGTAAGTCATCCAGTCCTGCCCCTTTATTTTACAGTTGAGAAAACTGAGGCCTGCAGACCTTAGATAACTTGCCCAGATTCACATGGTTGATAAGTGACCTGGCCAGGATTTGAATAGGGCTGAGACACTCCAAAGCCAGTGCTCTGACGGTAGCTCACTCCCAGCCCCCCGTTTAATGCTCTAAAAAAAAAAAGTCCCAATACATTGTGGTCTCACTAATCGGAAATTAGTTTTGACATTTCTAACCCAGGTGCCTGCTTTTTTCCTTTAAGTAAACATGATTTGTATATCTTGGCATACCACTCCCTTTGTGCCAGTTTTTACAGGATTCCAAACTTGATAAATAGCTAAGTGACTTCCATGTAATTGTCCCTTGCAACATTCCTTTTCTTTAAAATCTGGCAATAGTTCAAATTTCCCTGTTTATGCCACTGGGTTGAGGATTGCATGTTTAGATTTAATTCATTGATTGGAGTTTCCGGTTTTGATTGGAGAGCCTCAGTCTCAAATCCCTTCCTGTGATTTTGGGACCACTTTCTAATTATATAGTATTATTTCGATCCTAAATTCTGAAATGTAGATATAGAGTATGACCTACTGGAACTAGTAATTTAGCATACTCAGTCAGTGGCACAAGGACTCCCAGTCAGGTGACTATCCTAGTGACTCCCCTCCCTCGGGCTGGATTTCTCTTAAAAACCCTCAACATCCACCTCCCCTCCCACGTTTGCCAGGTCATCAGAAAGGTATGGAAACCAGGGTAAAGAAGACACCATTGTTTAAGGGAAAAGCCAGGTGGTGGGAAACAGCAAGAGATGGGTGCTGAGGAGAGAGAGAGAGAGGACGGGAGAGCGGGGTAAAGGGGGCAGATGGAGAGGGGAATCCGGAAAGGTGTGACAGTACAAAGTCCCTGAGGTTCGATTTTCCGAAACAGCTAGGGTATGGAACGCGGAATGAAAATTAGCACTGAGAACAAAAGACTCAGCCTGCGGCCACGAAGCTAACTTTGGACGGCGTGCGAATCGGAGACCTGTATCTGGAAGACCAAAGACCAGCCGGTTTTCCCCAGGGAAGGCAGAGAAAAGGCTCGCTGCGTTCCCACCCAGGTGAGGCTTCCCTAGCACACATCATCCAACGACCTGGGCTCAGAGGTCCCTCTCCCCACCCAGGCACGGGCGCGGCACTCCCACCCCGTGATAGTGGGGCCAGCCCCGCTACCTGCAGCATTTGACCAGTTTCTCGCGGACTGTCTGGCGCTCACGCAGCTGCCGCTCGTGCTGCTCCAGGAAGGAGGGCTCGTTGTAGACAGGCCGCGAAACCACATAATTTGTGTACTGCGGCAGCTCCGGGTCCATCCTGCGAGGAGATGCCATGTCCCTGGGAGAGGACACAGGGAGGTGGGAAGTAAGGGAGAAAAAGTAGGAGAGGAACGTGACCAGGAAAAGTGATCATCCATTACTGCCGTTTTAGAACCTGACTAGCCGCTGTCCTCAGCGGCCGACCCCAGAGAGCCAGAGCTTCTTCCCCCTACTTCCCCTCTCCCGGTGGCATCATCCCCCAAATGGGATGGCCTGAGGGAACTGGGACAGAATCTAGGGCTCAGAGCTCTGGCAGGCTAAGTCTCTCGCTCCCCAAGAGAGCTAGGGATAGTTTTGCGCGGGTCCCCTTCAGAATTCTGGACAAATGAGGCGCTGTCCGGGTTCTGAAATTTCTAAGTCAACTAGGCGGCAAGGAGTACGGGGGTGAGGGAAGAGGTAAGAAGGGGAGTAGTTGGGAGAGGACGACACTCAAGTTACCGTCCTACTCATTCCCACTAAGCAAAGATGGAACCACGAACTCAACCCCCAAGTAGAACATAGTGCAGCCCTGGAAAGAGACTGACCTTGAAATCTGTTAGCGTACAAAGAGGTCAGCCTCCAGAAAATCGGTGCTCGCCCTGGTGGCACCCTACTTCCCAAAGCAGAGCTACTCCCACCTGCTCCCCCGCCCTGGTTTCTCCTCCTACCTCAGCGGCTTTAGTCCAGGTTAGCTTGTTCAGGAAGAAAGTGGCCGGCACCTGACCAAACGAAGCCTGTGATGCTTTTACTTCAGCTCCCTTCTTCAACCTTTTGCCTCTCACCCACCCACTGTAAGGGAAGGCTGCTGCAGCCCTGCTCTCTACTGGACAGCCAAAGATCTTACTTGCTCCTTAGACTGCCCCTCCCAGAATGTGCCTGGGGATAGGCCCCTAGGGTGCTTTTATATAGCATGCAGAAGGCGGGTGGAACGTTTATTTATGCAGAAACAGATATCTTGGTAGAAAAAGAGGGAGTCCTCACCCAAGGCCGCTTCTACTCACCTGCCTAAGGGGAAAAAAATCCTGCCCCTCCATTTCCCCCCCTCCAGCTGTTCAACTGTTGTGACTCCGAGTCTCCCCTACAGGCTCAGGGCTTGGAACCTGCCAAATGCTGGGGACACTTGACATGGGATGGCAGAGCTAGGTAAGATTAAGAGAATAATCAAGAAGTTAGGGCCACCTAGAGTACAGGCCTTTTCTCCCAGGTTCCATATTTTCCTGGACTCTCTTACCCAGGTAAACTGGTAGGCACTAAGTGGAGAAATGAAGCTGGTTGACAAAAAAGAAATTCTAAGTGAAATTTTTTTCTCTTTGGAATTTGAGTCACAGAATCAGATAACTCAGAGCTGTGCCTCAAAGAGCACTTAGTCATTGAAAAAGAGGAAATTAGTCACAGCTTGGTTCTCTCTCTCTCTCTCTCTCTCTCTCTCTCTCTCTCTCTCTCTCTCTCTCTCTCTCTCTCCACATATGTATATAAAATATAAAAAGAAACTTTTCTCTGGTGTTCACTCTTTCCTAAATTCTCTGATTATCTTCATATCTTTACATTCATCTATGTATTTCTATTCAAATGCACAATTATGAAAAGAAAAGGAGAAAGCACATTGAATACTGCCCTAACACAGGGTCAAATAGAATACACTAGAACACATGTGGGAGATAGGAATCAGGAGGTAGGAAGGTAAAGGAAGGAGGGAAGTGGGTAGGAACATCCTTATTAGAATGGGATTTTGTCTTTAGGTCTGGAAAATCCTGTATCTTAGCACCACCTGCTGTTTCATGAGTTAGATGAAGGAATACTTTGGTTTGGTATCTGAACTCAACATTACCATGGTATAATAAATATTCTGTATATGCTGTCTATAAAAATTATGAAAGTGTATGGTCTGCAGTGCTTGATAAATGGTGATCCTTCAGGTCAGCTTTCACACTACATGATACAGGACAATTTCTAGGGAAGAAATTTAAGACTTGTCCTAATTATATAAAAGGACCTGGAAGACAAAAGTCTGTTCAGTGCTTTTTCTCTCTCTCTTTTGAAATCTTTGTAAGAAGTAATGGCTCGATGGGTAAGGGGTAAGGCATTCAGAAAGGAAAGTAATATCAAAACAAAAGATACCAATAAAAATAAGATTCTTATTAAGTCAGTTGAGGCCTCAAAATAGTTTTCATTCACTTGGGAAAAAAGTTACAGAGAGAAAGAGATAAAGACAGAGACAGTCAAAAAGGGACAAGGAGAGACAAACCGAGACAGAGAATGAGGTTTTGAATGTTTTCATAAGGCTTTGCAGGCAGAAATTTTTTTGTGATTTTTAAAAAAGATTAGGTGAATAGAACTTAGAACTATAAGGGACTTTGGGATGATCTAATCCAATTTTCTCATTTTATAGATATTGAAAATTGAAGTCTAGTGTGACTTGCCCTAAGACACAAAGGTGAGTAGAGAAGTCAGAAAAACTTAGTCCTATGACTTTAAGTTGATTGTTCCATTCTACCACATTGTCCCAATCCATAGTGTTCTCTCCTACCAATAATGATACACACACACACACACACACACACACATCCTTAAAATGTATGTATGTTATTGTTGTTATTTGTCCTTCATTGTTAAAGAGGACCACGACATCAGGAAGATGATGCCATGATGCCATGAGGTCTCCAACCTCACTCTCTCCTCCTGAGCCATCTGGGTCCAGTGGCAAGATATAGATCAAGAGGACTGGAGATAGTCCTGGATGCAGAAGGAGATCTTGGCCTTTTTAAGCTAAGGTCTTTCTGTGTTCTCACCTTGGCCAAGGCAAACCCATTCGGTGATTAAGGCTAATTAAGAAATGAGCCAAGGAATGGCCCCTTTTACCTAATTAAAAAAAAATCAATTTGGGAGGGAAAGACTCCCAGGGTTTCTGGCCAAAACAGAGACAATTATATTTACATTCACTCTGAGCCTTCAGGCCCAAACAATGACAAGCTTGGGCTGGGACCCATTGTTGGCCAATCAATGAGAGCCAGAGTGAATTCATTTAAGGTATGGGTTTTGGGGTTTTTATGGTGGTTTTTTTTGATGAGGTAACCAGGGTTAAGTGACTTGCCCTGGGTCACAGACCTGGTGTCAAGTGTCTGAGGTCATATTTGAACTCAGGTCTTCCTGACTCCAGGGCTGGAGCTCTATCCACTGCACCACCTAGCTGCCCCTAGGCATGTTCTTAAGAAAGCAATCTAGCCATTAAACCCCAACATACCTTGCTAGGTTTCAGTCATCAAAGTTTACATTCCTTTGGGCAGAGCACCTTCAGGTAAGGGCATGGTATCCCATGTGAACAGAGGGAGAGGAAGGAGAAGGGAAGGGGAGGGGAAGAGAGAGAAGGGAAGGAAGGAAGGAAGGAAGGAAGGAAGGAAGGAAGGAAGGAAGGAAGGAAGGAAGGAAGGAAGGAAGGAAGGAGGGAAGGAAGGAAGGAGTGAGCTGAGTCCCCAGTGGGGAAGCTTGGACTACTCACAATTTGTTGTTTGTCCTTTGTTCTCAAAGAGGACCATGACATCAGGAAGAGGATGCCATGACTTGCAAGTGAATTGTATTGCAATGAGAGAGGGCTGTGCAAGGTCATCAGTCTTACTTTCTTCTCCGGAGCCACCTGGGTTCAGTGGCAAGATATAGATCAGGATGACTGGAGATGGCCCCCTTAAAATGTATATTGACTAATAAAAGGCAATGTGAACTAAGTAAAAAGGTATATATGTCACATTATTACATTATATTATTATAAACAACAAATATATTATAAACAACAAATAATTATTAAATGCTTACTATGTGCCAGACACTGTGCTAAAACCTTGGTGGTAAAAAGACAAAGAAAAATAGTACCTGCCCTCAAGAAGTTTACACTTCAATGGAAGAAGTAACATGTTCATATACAGTTATATAAAAATAAATACAAAACATATAAAAGATAACCTTAGAGAAGGCATTAGCACACATGTCATCATAGCATATATACACCTAAGTGACTAATAGCTTTATATTTTTGCCTAAGTATATAGTCCTAGGACAGACAACAATAGTCACATAAGACTGAGTGCACACTCATAGTAGGTACTGTATATTTTCCTGACTTAAGACTAGCCATTTGTGAATTATAGGAAACGTTTGAAAATTGCACTTATTTGCGGATTCAAGCCTTCACTACAAAGTTTCAACTTGACATAGTATGGAGTAAATCTCAATATGCCTGGAAGGAATTTTATGGCATTATAAATGGGCAACTCAATAACTTAAAGGATCCGTGGTTTTATCAGCATAAGGAATTCCTTCCACCAATAGTCACAAGCTATGACTTAGTTGTTGTTTGTCCTTCATTTTCAAATAGGACCAATGGCATCAAGGAATGATATCTTGACTCGTTCACGAATTGGATTTAAGGGATGTAGAGTTGCACAAAGTCACCAGCCTCACTCTTTCTTCCACTCATTGAAGTCCAATGGCCAGACAGAAGTCAGGATGACTGACAATAGTTCGGGATGCGGTGGATGACCTTGGTACCTTCCATGTCCGATTAAGCTCTAATGGATCCACAGTGCCTGCTTCAGCTGCCGCCAGGAAGGAAGTCTTCATACGCTTGGAGTAGACATTCCCCTACCTCACTGATGGGGTTGAGGCCTATTGGTTACCCTCAACCTGGTTTAGAGGTACTAGTCCTCCCTGAACACTCCATACACCCCTATGATTTAGTAGACAACTAAGGAGTGCACAAGGCACAATCAGGGTAAGTGATTTGTCTTGGGTCACAAAATGTCAGATGCAGAATTTGGGGTTGATTCTAAATCCAGCCCCCTAGAGAGCCATGATAGGAGGCAGCTGGGTGCCTTTGGAATTGTCTTGGATCATGTATTGATTAGGGTAGCTAAGTCTTTCACAATTGATGATCACTACAGCATTGCTGTTATTGTATGCAATGTTCTCCTGGTTCTTCTCACTTCACTTTGTACCAGTTCATGTAAATCTTTATAAGTTTTTCTGAAACCATCCTGCTTGTCATTTCTTATAGCACAGTAGTTTTCCATCACAATCATATACCACAGATGATTGATGAGCATCCTCTCAATTTCGAATTCTTTGCTATCACAGAAAGAACTGCTATAAATATGCTTGTACATATAGGATCTTTTCCTTTTTCTTTAATCTCTTTGGGGTACAGACCTAGTAGTGGTATTGCTGGGTCAGAGTATGCACAGTTTTATAGCCCTTTGGGCATAGTTCAAAATTGTTCTTCAGAAAGGTTGGATCAGTTCTCAACTCCACCAACAATGCATTAGGGTACCTATTTTTCCACATCCCCTTGAACATGTCATTTTCCTTTTCTTTCTTGTTAGCCAAACTTTTGGTATGAGAAGGCACTTCAGAGTTACTTTAATATGAATTTCTCTAATCATTAGTGACTTAGAGCATTTTTTCATATGACTATAGCTAGCTTTGATTTTTTCTTCTGAAAACTGCCTGTTCATATCCTTTGACCATTTAATGGTTCTTATTTTTATAAATTTGTCTCAGTTCCCTATCTATTTGAGAAATGAGACCTTTATCAGAGAAACTTGAAGTAAATTCTTTTCTCCCTGGTTCCTTCTTTTCTTATAATTTTGGCTACATTGATTTTGTTTATGCAAAAACCTTTTTAATTTTGTGTAATCCAAAGTATTCATTTTACTTCCTGTGATCCTTCTATCTCTTGCTTAGTCATAAACTCTTCACTTATCCATAGATCTGAGAAAAAAAATTTTCTAAGTTGCCCTAATTTGCTTATGGTATCACCATTTATGTCTAAATCGTGTATCCACATTGATCTTATCTTGGTATATGGGGTGAGATGTTGGTCTGTGCCTAGTTTCTGCCAGACTGCTTTCTAGTTTTCCCAGGAATTTTTTCAAATAGTGAATTCTTGTCCCAAAGCTTGGATCTTTGGGTTTATCAAACACTAGATTACTATGCTCATTTACTACTGTGTATTGTGCACCTAATCTATGCCACTGATCCACCACTCTTTCTTAGCTAGTACTAGATTGTTTTGATGATTACTGCTTTGTAAAAACAGTTTGATACAATTCATAAATGGTAAAAGGCAGTTCTCAGATGAAGAAATTGAAGCCATCTTTAGTCATAAGGAAAAAAATGCTCCAAATTGCTATTGATTAGAGAAATGCAAACCAAAACAATTCTGAGGTACCACATCACACCTATCAGATTGGCCAACATGACAAAACAGGAAAATGATAAATGTTGGAGAAGATGTGGGAAAAGTGGAACACTAGTACATTGTTGGTGGAGTTGTGAAATGATCCAACCATTTTGGAACTATGCCCACCCTTTGACCCAGCAATAGCACTTCTAGGGCTATATCCCAAAGAGATCATACAAATGGGGAAAAGACCCACATGTACAAAAATATTTAAAGCAGCTCTTTTTGTGGTGGCAAAGAATTGGAAATTGAGAGGATGTCCATCAATTGGGGAATGGCTGAGCAAGTTGTGGTATATGAATGTAATGGAATGCTATTGTGCTATAAGAAATGATGAACAGGCAGACTTCAGAAAAACCTGGAAACTCTTGCATGGACTGTTGCTGAATGAAGTGAGCAGAACCAGGAGAATGTTGTACACAATAACAGCCACATTGTACGATGACTAGTATTGATAAACTGAACCCTTCTCAGCAATACAAGGATCTAAGACATCTCCAAAGGCCTCATGATGGAAAATGCTATCCACAAAGAAGAAAGTACTATGGAGTTTGAATGCAGATCGAAGCATACTATTTGCTATTTTTTTTCTTCTGTTGTGTTTTGTTTCCTCTGGTGGTTCCTTCCTATTGGTTCTAATTCTTACAACATCACTAATGTGAAAATATGTTTAATGGGAATATATATATGTATAGCCTACGTCAGATTGTGCGCCGTCTTGGGGGGGAGGGGAGGAAGGGGGAGAAAAATTTAAAACTCCAAAACTTATGGAAGTGATTGTTGATAATTCAAAATAAATTAATAAAAAAAGTTAAAAAAAAAACCAATTTGAGATCTAGTACAGTTAGGCCACCTTCCTTCACATTTTTTTTTCATTGATTCCCTTGATGTTCTTGACTTCTTGTTCTTCTAGATGAATTTTTTAAATTATTTTTTTCTAGCTCTATGAAATAATTGTTGATAATTTGATTGGTGTGTCACTGGATAAGTAAATTAATTTAGATAGACTCGTCATTTTTATTATCTTGTTTTGGCCTGCCCATGAGCAATTAATATTTTTCCAATTGTTTAGATCTGACTTTGTTTGTATGAAAAGTGTTTTGTAATTGCGTTCATATATTCCTGGGTTTGTCTTAGCAGGTAGACTCCCAAATATTTTATATCATCTATAATTATTTTAAATTGAATTTCTCTTTCTATCTCTTGGTGCTGGACTTTGTTGGTAATATATAGAAATGCTGATGATCTCTGTGAGTTTATTTCACATCCTGCAACTTTGCTAAAGTTGTTAATTATTTCAACTATTTTTTTAGTTGATTCTCTAGGATTCTCCAAGTACACTGTCATATCATCTGCAAAGAATGATAGTTTTGTTTCCTCATTGCCTATTCTAATTCCTTTATCCTTTTTCTTCTGTTATTGTGATAGTTAGCAATTCTAGTATGATATTGAATAATAATGGTGATAATGGGCATCCTGGCTTCACCTCTGATCTCGTTGGGAAGGCTTCTAGCTTATCCTTATCACAGATAATGCTTGCTGATGATTTTAGATAGATAATACTTACATTTTAAAGAAAGCTCCATTTATTCTTATGCTTTTTAGCATTTTAATAGTAATGAGTGTTGCATTTTGTCAAAAGCTTTTTCTGTATCCATTGAGATAATCATATGATTTCTGTTGGTTTTATTATTGATATGGTCAATTTTGTTGATAGTTTTCCTAATATTGAACCAACTCTGAATTCCTGCCATAAATCTCATCTGGTCATAATACGTGATCCTTGTGATATATTGTTATAATCTCTTTGCTAGTATTTCATTTAAAATGTTTGCATCAATATTCATTAGGGAAATAGGTATCAGCACCATAACTGTGTCAAAAAAAGAATTTAGTCAAAAAAGAAAATTCTTGTCTATTTTTTTCCAGATAGTTTTTATAGTATTGGAATTTATTGTTCTTAAAATGTTTGATAGAAATCACTTGTGAATCCATCTGGTTCTGGGGATTTTTTAAAGGAGCTTATTGATGGCTTATTCAATTTCTTTTTCTAAGATAGGATTATTTTAATATTTTATTTCCTCTTTCATTACTTTGGTCAATTTATATTTTTGCAAATATTCATCCATCTCACTTAGATTGTCAGATTTATTGGTATGTAATTTGGCAAAGTAGCTCCTAATAATTGCTTTATTTTCATCTTCATTGTGGTAAGTCCACTGTTTTAATATTTTGATACTGATAATTCAGTTTTCTTCTTTCTTTCTTTTAAATCAAATTAACCAATGGTTCATCTATTTTACTTGTTTGTCTGTTTTTCACAGAATCAGCTCCTAGTTTTAGTTATTAGTTCAATGGTTTTCTTATTTTCAATTTTATTAATCTTTCCTTTGATTTTCAGAATTTCCATTTTGGTGTGTAATTGAAGATTTCAAATTTGTTCTTTTTCTAGCTTTTTTGGCTGCATGCCCAGTTTGTTGATATGCTCTTTTTCTATTTTATTGATATAAGCATTAGTAGGTGAAGAAAAGGCCAGGGAGTGAAATGAAGTATGACTGGAGCCCAGGCACAGATATAGTGAGAAACTGAGGCAAATCCCAATAAGACAGTTGGGTTCTAGGGCAGGAATTCCAGGCATGAGAGGATAAAATCCTCCAGTACTTGATTTCTGGTCCAGACAGCATGGTAGCTGATGAAGAAATAGGCAGGAGGGAATGACTTTCATATCACTTTCCTGTTTGTTAAAATACAACCAGTTTAATTGTTTATAGTATTAACTAGTGCTCACCATGTTGAAAGCCTTCTGATCCCCATTTTTTTTTGAACTAAGCATTGATGATATATATATACAGTGAAACTTCTGAATAAAGGACAAATCAGCCAGTGCCTAGCACAGGGCCTGGTATGTAGTAACTGCTTAATAAATGCTTATTGACTGTTGACTTTCTGGAATTTGTCATTTTTACTCCTGTACCATTATTTCCCAATATATATTTAACTATCCTCACATATCACATTGAAGGAGAATACTACACTGACAAAGAGAGACTTTTATAGCAGAGAACTCTAGATCACTGAAATCATTACATTGTTTCTTAAATACGAATCAGCCCTAGGTCACCTTAGTGCTGTGTAAAGTGAGGGTGGTGACTTTGCCCAGCCCTCCCTCACTTAGATCCAATCCATCTGCATGTCATGGCATCACCTCCATGATGTTGTGGTCTTCTTCAAGAACCGAGGGCAAACGACAACACACTATATACAACTTTTTGTTCCTTGATTACTCTTATCCAGGTCATACATACTGATGAACAGTGGGCTGTACGTAGAACTACAGAGTATAGTCTGAGTCATGTGGACTTTTTATCACTTGTGCATTCTCCAGACTTGAGCTGATCCTTATGCTACCTCTTCCTTCTGCTCCTGTAGCCTCTTTCTCCCATTGGTGAGTTCTTGCCAGAACCTCCAGTCTGGGGAAGGACTCAGACCAGCCATCCTTCTGGACCTAGACACCCACTATGCCCTTGCATGCATTTCCCTCTCCATACATTTCTTAGCTCCCCTTTTATGTATCATCTCCCACCCTGCTGATTTCCAGGACCTCATCATTAGATGAGGTAACAAGATAACATCAACTCTGAACCTCATGCCTCCTCAGCATGTCCCAGGCTCTGAGACCCTACTCTTCCTCTAATTGGAGAAG